CATCCGTGTGGTGGCACTTTGTGTCACCGGGTGTTTATCGCTTGTGTGATATCCCGGTAGGGGTACAACTTACATACATACATTCTATAATAAAGCAGGTCATGGGTAAACCATCGCACGTTCACACATCCATGTAGTCATGTAGCACGGAGTCACGGAGTCTGGAAGACTATCTGTGCTGGTGGTCGGAGTTTACTGAGAGAAAATGTTAATTTACTAGAATAAATGAGGGATATAAAAATAAAACCAAACCCTCACCAGTGATACCAAGTGATTCAGACTGTTGAGAAACTACTTTAGGATAATTTTAACTGTGATAGATTTTAATTACTTTTACCAATGGCAACGTTTTAAAAAAAATGGAAAGCATCTTATGACAGCAATTGCAAGTATAATAGTAATTGGGAGAAAACATAGCCAAGGCTCAAAAGATCTTTAGACGAATCAGAGGCAGCATACTGTAAACTGTCAGTGCACTATTGTAACCAAGAATTAGTAACATATCAAAAAATGAAAAAAAGGGATTAAAAAAAAAACCGGATGAAAACTCCGTTAAAAAGCCAGTCAGAGCTTATTACAACAATGACTGCTAGGCAAATTAATGATAAAATTAAGGCAGCAGAGTTGCAACTTGCTGTAAGTATGACCTGCTATTGCGCAATACGCACAATTGATCGTCTTAGTGAAATCATGAGAGCGCATGGTCGGGGGAGTACATTGTAACACATACAGTTGCATAGAACTAAATGTTCATGTATAATTTTAAAAAAATATTATATCGCCTGCACTTAAGACTGAAAAGGTTTACGTTGTATCTTCCACTTGTTCCAGTAAGGATGACATTCAGGAATTCAATTTAGAGCTTTTGTGGTGAAGTGAGAAAAATGTTACATTTTAGTTTGCGCTTTTTTTGTGTGTGTGCGTGATTTGGGTAGTAAGTAGTTTGGCGTAAAAGAAAAAAAAATTTATTTTAAAATCTGGCAACCCTGCTGAAGACGTATGACAGTCTTGGAAACATTACAGCTAAACTCTATTGTAAAATTATCACTAGATGATGATGCTGGGGAAGCTTACTAACAGCCTGTCCGATAAAGGGAGTAATCGTTGAAGTTATCAGTAAGTGGGGACTGACTATAAAACAATAAAAATATACAATGTGTCTGGAGTGGTTCGTGCACAATTTGCGTCACTTGGCGGGAGTAGTAAATCGTTTTTTGAGATAAGGTTTGTGCCTGGCCGGTCTGTAAGTCTGCGGTCACTAATGCTCGATTTTGTAGATACTCACAAAAATAATAACCATCAAGACATTATCGTGGTGATGTGGAGGAGGATTGTGACGATCTTTTACTTCTTCGATCCTTCTGTCAGAAAATTTATATCAGGAGGCCGGTAACCTTTATGAAAGCTATCGTGCAATCCAATATTTCCCTGTGTACCGTGCAGCTCTGTCTTCACGGAGACTGGAACATGCCAGATTGCATCTTTGTTGGCAGCATACAGTTCACGGTGTTAAACCATAAGCTGGGCATTTTCTGGCACCGAGCTGAAGGGACGCTTCACAGGTGGTGAGCATACTTTGGATCTTTTTCTCCAGGCTATGCTGACGGGGTGGGTCGTGAACAGGCAGACAGATTGGCTGGATCTGCACCACTGGGTGGTGAATTGATACATAACGATGCAGATGTGGTCAAGGCCCTTTGGGAACAAGAAACGGAATCACTAGAGAAAGAAGAGTATTATGGCCTGGAGAGAATGAGGCACCTGTGTGTAACCAGAGGGTCTGGCCGGCTCACTACACTCAGAGGAAAGGCAAGACGGACTTTTAACCAGATTGTGACCGGTACCATCAGTATTGGAGCTCTGCGCTGGTTGCTGAAGATAAGGACAGAGCATGCGTGGGAATGCCCCGAGTGCTGTGATGTCAATTCTTGACTCATCTCAACTCAACAGGGACACCTCCGTGTTTCCTACACCGAACAGTCAGAACATATGTTGGAGAAGTCTGTTGTGCCCTGTCCTTTGTCTGAATAACTGTGTCCTTCTCTAGAGAAGCGATGATGATGATGATTTTTATTATTACATGAAGACGCCTTAGTCGAGCGACCAGATATATGTGTGCCACTCCTCCCCCTCACCGGAAAGTCAAATTCAAATCGAGGCGGATTTTTGCTTTATAGCTGACCTCGGCCCTCAAGCCGACCTAGAGACTAAGATGGGTACCTAGAGATATTACGGGAAGTTGAAGTAACCGGTGTGATGTTAATTTCATCACCCATCGAAGGCGCAATGATCTATAAAGTGCCCATATGGGTTCCGGGGCCCCATTTCATTGGGGGGGGGGGGTGTGACTGCCCTCAACAAGTCTCTCATACAAAGAGACTAATTAGGAGTGTTTTCTTCAAAGTCTTGGTGCATCTGCCTTAGAGGCAAGGAACCAACAGTCTGCATACATAAATAGGCCAGATATGTTAAATGGATGTGCGAGAAAAATGCCAGAACTTTCCGTCGGAATCTACAGCCTGTGAATGCGAAGAAGATGATTTTTAAAGAATCGGAACTATCACCAGATGTCTGATCCCAATATAGGTGCCAAAAGGGTGCTTTGCTGACCTTTTTCTTACCCTCACATGTTCAACCTTTGAGAAATGGTGGGTAATTATTCGCCATTTTACACGATCACCAGTCTTAGATCAAGTCTGTGTTCTTGATAATATTTGTCATTTTAAGAATGAACAGTCCTTTGTACTTATTGTGTGCTGTGCTCACTTACATTTTTATTGCTGAATTATTTGTTTCCCCTTGTGGGTTCCAGGGCCCTATTGGAAAAGGTGCGGGGTGGGGGTGGGGGGGGGGATGTTGGACCAAATAAGCATGTCATAAAAATTTAATAATTATGAGTCTGCTTAAATCAGACTATTGAGCCGAAAGGAGAAGATGTCGCAGCCTTGCTGTAAACCGCAATCCATCGTGTCAGCCGCTTTTTCAAGGGCCAAGGCAGAAGAAGAAAAGAAAATGTATTTCTTGTACTGAAAGAAACATTAAAAATGGTAAACTATATGTATGCTACACAATTTATTATTAACATATATTTAAATATAAGAAACCTAAGAATTGAAAGTATACACGACATACGTCTGTCAGATATGGCTTCCAGTGTCATCCTTAAACGGCTTCGGGCAGCGCAAAGCATTGGAAAATATTTTGTTTATGTAATTTTTCGTTATTTGAAGCCCCACTCTGGCTTTTGCCGGAAGATCTGAATATAGCCGGGTCATAAATATGGCCTAACGGCTGAAAGGGGTTCCTGTGACCTATCCACAAGTGATCCTCATCCGCATGGTGGCACTTTGTGTCACCGATGTGTTTATCGCTTCTGTCATGCCCCGGTGGGGTACAACAAGGGAGAGAGAGAGGGTAGAGAGAGAGAGTAGAGAGAGAGAGAGGGTAGAGAGAGAGAGGGGGTAGAGAGAGAGAGAGGGTAGAGAGAGAGAGAGAGAGGGTAGAGAGAGAGAGAGAGAGGGAGAGGGAGAGGGTAGAGAGAGGGTAGAGAGAGAGGGAGAGAGAGAGGGTAGAGAGAGAGAGAGTGTAGAGAGAGAGAGGGTAGAGAGAGAGAGTAGAGAGAGAGAGAGGGGGTAGAGAGAGAGAAGGTAGAGAGAGAGAGAGAGGGTAGAGAGAGAGAGAGAGAGAGAGAGGGTAGAGAGAGAGTAGAGAGAGAGGGTAGAGAGAGAGAGGGTAGAGAGAGAGAGGGTAGAGAGAGAGGGTAGAGGGAGAGAGAGGGTAGAGAGAGAGAGGGTAGAGAGAGAGTAGAGAGAGAGAGGGTAGAGAGAGAGGGTAGATAGAGAGGGTAGATAGAGAGAGAGAGAGGGTAGAGAGAGATAGAGGGTAGAGAGAGAGGGTAGAGAGAGAGTAGAGAGAGAGAGGATAGAGAGAGAGAGAGTGTAGAGAGAGGGAGAGAGAGAGGGTAGAGAGAGAGGGTAGAGAGAGAGAGCGAGGGAGGGGGGGGGCACTGAGCAGGTTACCATCCATATTCTATGACCTGGGTATGCAACCCGAAAACTGAATATTATAGCAGGGCAAAGCAGTTCCCTAGCCTTGGTTGGCAGTTGGTCTAAGGGAAAAGCTTCGACAGGCGGACTGAGCACTGCTGTCCTCAGCAGCATGCTCTGTTGCTAAGATACTAGTGTTACCATTCCTTTGGAGCTAACAAAGCAGGTCGAGAGAGTGATCCGGCTACATGGTCAACAGATGTTATTTAAATGCTGTCCAAGCTTTATTCTACGGAAGGGATGCTATAGATGGCATTCCATGAAAAAAGAAGAGGCGGGTTAGTAAAAGAATAGGGACAATGAAGAAAAAGACGACGGACAAGAGCTGGGTGACATGAAAGATGTCAAAAACATATAAAGGCAATGATGGACATAAAATCGAATTTATTGTAGATGATTCTTTTTAATACAAGCTGATCTTGCTAATCACACTCTCCATCACCATGGGTTGTAAATCATATCTGGTAAGCCTTGCTTTGGCACAACAGAACATTATCGTCTGGAAAGACCAAAAGATGCAAACAACAGGGTCAAAGGCTATCTTCCGAATAGCGGTCCCAAATTATCGAGGCCGAAAATTAACCCTAACGGGACCTCAGTCACATGTAAATCGCGGACTTTTGGCGACTTAAATTTCGGACTTCCAGGGACTACCGCCACCGCCAAGGGCATCTCCCGCGCTGCGCGTAGCTAAACTAGATGGCTGTAGTCGCCGGAAGTGCGCAATTTACTTGTGACTGAGGCCCTGTGAGGGTATTTTTTCGGCCAGGATAATTTGATCAAAATATCTTTAGACTGAGAATAACATCCCAAGTTGGGGGGGGGGGCGGGGGGGGGGCGGGGGGGCGATATTTTACTTTAAAAAGTATAATATTATAGTCTGTCGTATAGTAAAAGTCGTGATAACTTTATTGAAAATATATAGAAAGCGCCTCTGTGGTCACGCCATGTTTGCTAGCCAGGCAGAATGGGGTGGTTACAGTTGCAAGCTTCCCCACCCAGCTGGATTGAGCACAAGACAACGCATATGTTCTCGGTTGTCGTGGCCAGGTTTTTGACATCGGGTTGTTTTGTAGAATTTTGTTCAGAAAACAGTGGAGGTTCCGTTGTGTTGTATAGCACACCTGGAAAATGGAGTTAACATGTATATCACACAGCTGGTAAATGGAATTACATGTATACCACACATATTAAAATGAATCAAATTACATAAAACATAGCAAATAGAATACAATGTATGTCACATCTAGTAAATGGAATACAATGTACATCACATAAAGTAAATGGAATCACATGTTTATCACACACAGTACACGAAATTACACGAATATCACACCTATTAAATGGAATAACATGTACAGCACACTCAGTAAATCGAATACAATATATATCCCACGTAGTACATGAAATCATGTGTACCTCTTTCTACAGAATAAGACTTCCATTAGGCATAAATTACGAAAACACACAAACTAACAAATAAAAACAGAGGGGACGTTGCGACAATAACTCTTTATCCGCAAATAATAATAATAATAATAATAATAATCAGAAGGAGAAAGACTTTTCTATGTAATAAAAATCATCGTTATTATTGCTTACTTATGTACTGTGTCTTTACAACATTGTTTGCATTACGTGTATAAATTATGATAGTCTTCTAAATTGAAATATAGCATATACATTCATGATATCTACTCTAACTATTTAATCGTGTGCCCTGTATAGATCCAGGGAGTCTCGGTGGCGTAGCGGCTAGACGCTCGCATGCGGATCGTGAGTTTGCTCCCTGGCGGTGCCGGACTTCATTTAAAAAAATGATCTTAACTCTCAGGTCGACCCAGCCTTGAGTGGGTACCGGCTGCAGTTTCGGGAAGTAAAGGCTGTCGGCGTGATGAGGACCACATCACCCATCTTGTTCCGATTGGTCTATAAAAAATATAGGTCTAGCCCTATATGCCCTATACGCCTAAAGGCGTTGAAAAGGGACCTTTACTTTTTCGTTACCTGTATAGATCCAAAAAATACGTGAAAGACGCTCTTACTTTGCTGCGCAGTTGTGCACATTTGTTGCAGAACAACTTCCGTTTCGTTTGTGACATGGTAAGTTGATTGTGTGCACGGAGACGGCGAGTCATCAATGGCTGGGACCGTCTTTGTGATAAGATATACCAGAAGGATCACGTGATAACCATGCTGGGACATTCTGAGAAGAGAGAAATCAAACTTCAGAATACATTCAGTACATTCAGAGTAATCATTCATCTCAGCAGAGCCTTTTTTTCAGAGCAACTGTGACAGACATTTTGTGGTGAGTACCGGCACCTTTTTAAAAAGAAAAAAAATCTACTTATAACTGCACATGATGATGATGAGGATGTTGAACCTTAAAGCCTGGTCATAATCATTCTAATTCCATAACACCACATGTCTTGAAATGGTAACCAGCTGGAATCACATGTATATCACATACTTCTTCTTCTTCTTCTTCAGCATTCCGAGCCCTTGTGGTTCATTGCTGCAGATATCACCCGCCTCCATTCATCTCTTTGGTTAACATTCTTTTTCCAGTTGGTGACACCAAGTGTTTGCAGGTCTGTCTGGATATTATCTCTCCATCGTCTTCTTGGTCTCCCTCGTGGTCTACGACCATTCATCTCCCTGGTGTTTACAGTTTTTTACTTCTCTGTCATCTGACATTCTTTCAGTATGTCCCATCCATTTCAGTCTATTAGCTCTCATGATGCCAGTGATCAGTGGTGATTTAAACAGATTATGAATTTCGTTGTTGCTTCTTACTCTCCATTCACCGCTGTTTGCATCTTTAATGGGTCTAAAGATTCGTTGCAAGACTTTGTTTTCGTAATAAGGCTTCATCTCTTTTAGTTGTTCTCCAAGCTTCAGAGCCATATAACACGACTGGTCTTTTTTACGTTTTATCTATCTGGTGTTGCGAGACAGACACTTTGACTTTAGCAGATGTTGAAGAACATAGTATAATTTATTTCCAGATTGTATTTTAGATTGTATTTCTTCTCTCAGCATGTTGGAGCAGTTGAAGTTTGCACCCAAGTACTTATACGTTTTCGTTAGTTTTATTGTCATATATATCACACACAGTACACGAAATCACGTGTATATCACACACAGTACACGAAATCACGTGTTTATCACACATAGTAAATTGTCATAATAAAGTCCTGGGCCGGCGTGACCACCCTCCCCCCCCCCCCCCAAGTGCCATTTGGTCTATTTGGTCTATTAGGTCTTGTCCTATATATCCAATACGTTTGAAAGGCACCGAAAAGGGTCCTTTACTTTACTTTCTACCGTTTATCGTTAGGTCACCAATTGCTGTCGAATGTCCGATCAGCTCCCTGCACTTTTGTACACCATGTGCCATGAATTTGTTTGCATATTTGAGGCCTGTCTTTTCAGCAAGATTTTATAACCAGTTTTTTTTTTCGTCTCTTGTACTGAGCCATGTGGTATCATTCCGCATCGCCTGTGTGTCCATTCCGTTGAATTTCCCGTCTTTTCGCTGTTGTTAAAAGAGGTTCATAACCGCCACTAGGTTGAATGACGATTTAACGAACCTCATCAGTTGTAATGTATAGTGAGAGCTAATAGATTGAAATGGTTGGGGCATATTAAAAGATGACAGAGAAGTACTAACTGTATACACTGCATAACTGAGATGAGAAACAGAATAGGACAGGCAAAAATTGCATTTTATAAAATAAAGAACACCTTGTGCACAATATCCTTGTCATTGAGAGTTAGAAAAAGAATTCTTGCTTACTACATTATTCAAGTTTTAACATATGGCTGTGAATCCTGGACAATCGGTAGGCAGGCCAAACAATTTATTGAGGCCTCAGAGATGTGGTTTTACAGAAGAATGCTTAGAATACCTTGGACAGCCAAAAAGAGCAACCAAGAGGTTTTGAAAGAGGCGGGAGCCCGAAGACAACTTATCACAGACATCAGAAGAAGACAGTCATCATTTCTCGGCCATGTTATGAGAACAGGGAAAATAGAACATACTGTGACCACTGGCAAGATCTGTGGAAAGAGGGTTAGAGGAAGACAACAAGAGAAGATTCTTGACAGTCTTGTTGCATGGCATGGATGTGTGTCGGCACACGAATTGATACATGCTCAATCGCAGATTGTAGAGAGGCATGATCGCCCACGCCAGTCGGCAAGGCAATGACACTGGGCAGATGAATGATCGTAGACAGGAAAAAGAAAGCCAACCAGAGAGATGAATGAAGGCGGGTGATTTCTGCAGCAATGAACCTCAAGGGCTCGGAACGCTGAAGAAGAATAATTTGCAATGTGGTCTCCGCATTATATACCCAGTATCTTTCAACAAGACCTCATTTCCAGCGCTTGTATTTTCCTTTCCAGTTCGTGTGTTGAGATCTCCCTGTATAATTTGGCGGTCACATTTTTGGAAAAAAAGGGGGGGGGGGGATTCACTGCCTCTCTAACAAGCATGTCGTAAGAGATGACTAATTAGATGAGTTTCCTTTAAAGTCAGAGGGCATCTGCCTGAGAGACGAGAACCAGCAGTCTGCATACTGAAAAATCAGATATGTGAAACGGATGTACACGCAGAACTTATGATCTGGAACAAGACCAAAGTCCATGAATTGGTTAACAACCAAAACTTTCTAAACCAACCACCAGAGTTTACAACCGGTAAACGCTAAGAAGAAGAAGAAGAAGAAGAAGACGAAGAAGAAGAAGAAGAAGAAGAAGAGAAGAAGAAGAAGAAGAAGAAGAAGAAGAAGAAGAAGAAGAAGAAGAAGAAGAAGAAGAAGAAGAAGAAGAAGAAGAAGAAGAAGAAGAAGAAGAAGAAGAAGAAGGAAAAGAAGAAGAAGAAGAAGAAGAAGAAGAAGAAGAAGAAGAAGAAGAAGAAGAAGAAGAGGAGGAGGAGGAAAAAGAAGAAGAAGTATGAGGTCCACGTTTTACAGTCACATGTGAAAAAACTAATGGCTCGTGCTTAATCATTTCATTTTAATTTTAATCTGTGTAGGGTTAAATCACTTTAGGACGCGAGTGCAGGGACTGGCCAGCTGGTGCTGCAGAATCAGAAGTTCAACAAATGATTCATGGCAATTCTCGCCCAGGTGATGTGATCATCTACACAGATGACTCTGTGTTGAGGGTATGGATGTCGCTTAGTGCAACAAAGCCTTTCATATGATATCACAACTTTTAGTTTGAGAATGGAAGTGGGGGCAGCCATTGCTGCCTTCTGCTTGATTGAGAATCAACTGTACACACATGTCGTAATTGTAACTCCGTGCAGAGCGGCAAGCATCGCTTCAGAGATCCCGGTAGTTAGCGTCCTTTGGATATTTTTTCCAGGTTGTGCTAGTGTGTTGTGAAACGAGCAGGCAGATAGACTGGTTGGTTCACTTGGTGGTGAATTGATGTATGGCAAGCTAAATATTGTGAGGGCCCTTTGGGAACGAGCGCAAATAGATAATTATGGTATGAGGAGAATGGCGTTGCTGGGAGTTATACCAGGGGATCTGGCTGACGCTCAACACTCAAGGGAAAGACGAGACGGATGTACAATGAGACAGTCACTGATACCACTGGAAATGAAACTCTACGTTTGCTGCTGAAGATGGGGGACGGAACACTTCTGAGCGTGTCCTTAGTGCTGTGATGTCGATTCTTAATTCAACATTCAATTTTAATACTAATATGTGCCCAATAATACCACTGAAAAAAAAATTATCTTGCAACCTCAAGTTTACAAAATCCCCCCCCCCCCCCCTTTCAACTTTCCCCAACCCGTCTCAAGAAAGTAGGAGTTGGTGCTCACAGCAAAAGGTCTAAAAGGTTTCGGTACTCAATAAAGAAGTGTGTATTACAATTGCGCTGAAAAAAAAAAAAAAAAAAGCAAATAAGTAAGTAATGATAGCAACTGGTTACATTTCACTGCAGCCTATATATTGAAAATTGAATAAACACAATTTTGTATTTTATAAACCTTCTCAACTTACTGTCTTTGTTTTTCCTGAAATATTGATGTTTGTTGTTTTGATTGTCACAGTAAATGCAGCTTGTTATATTATTATGTCTTCTCAGTTACATGCCTATCACATCATATAGTTACTAGCGCCCATGGTATACGAAAGTGAATACTGTATCGATTGACTTTGCCTGGGTACTTATTTGTCTTTCTGTATCCATATAGTTTTACGACCCTGTCCGTTGAACCTGGCCCCAACTCGCAGAAAAATAGAACAATTACACGTGTAAACGCCTATGCTGTGGAATATGTTTTAATGAGCTGCACGATCAGTTGTTTTTTGGTATTACTACTCGTAGTACATTATGTCATGAATAGTTGCGCCATCAAAGTCAACACAACTGCACTTTGAACATTCCCATGCGTGCTCAGTCCTCAAAGGTACCTCCCTACCGATTGTTATGTAAATTATGAGCTTGTGGCATATACTGTCGGTTCCGACCCTGCAGACGAATACCACAAGGAAGCCAGTTAGGTTGTAGTGTTTCTTCAGTCTTGTAGAGTAGTACAAGGGAAGTCGATATTTTTCTCGTTGTATTTTACCAGGGTGTATCTGTCTCCTTTCTATTCACAAGGCAGAAGGTTCTTCGTGCCTCTTGTTGTTTGCCACCTATTGTGAACTTTTATAGATAGTTAAGCTACCGTCTAGTGTCAGCAGTTATTATAAGACAGGGGAGATGACACCATATTGGACACATTCGGAGGACAGACAAACAGATAATCACGAAACCAGGAGGTCCAAGAGAAACCCTAAAGTGAACGTTGATGAGAGAAGCCAAAGGTGCTGGACTGGATTCTGCCCATGATATCAAAGTGATTGCAGAGCGAAATGAAGAAATAGACTGTGAGCCCTATGTGACATGTAATGGGACAATAGAATAATGATTGATTGACTGATAAGCTACCTTCTGTCACTCCACAGCGTAGACACGTCACGTCAGAAAAAGGGGAAACTTCCGGGGGTTAACCGCAAGTATAAACATTTTATTTTCCGCATCAGATAATGAGGCAATCGCGGATACAACTGCCCAGCAAACGGGTATCTCCGATCCTGTAAAACCCAAAGAAGGCCCACCATTGTCCCTTGTAAAAAGAAAAACAACAATGGCTGCAGTTTAAACTTGCCAATAGCAACCGTACGCATTAAATGCATAAGGCAGCTGTCAGAAGTGCTGACACAGGCAGTCAACACTAGAACTACACATCATCGAAGAAAGCAGCAGTGACAACAGATCAATAGTTGCACACTCAATTAATCGCATAAGGCCCCACTATTTCTCTGGTAACAGGTCACGCGCCATATTCTGGATACGGTAGTTCACAACACAAACCACGTTGGGTATAATCGACAGAACTGGACCATTCACTCTGGTTGTCAAACACCAACTAACTTTATCGGTGCTTTCCCAATATCTTCCCCTAGGATGACGGCACAGGACAGTCCAATATTATCGAGGGTTTTAAGTGCGGGTTTCTCGGCTTTCTGATAATTTTAACTACCTAAAATATCTAGAACTGGGCCTAACATCAACGCACCTACGTCCCACGAGAAAGTGCAGCCTAGGTCCCACGACTGCATGCAGCCTATCTACCACCCCCTAAAATATTCGACTGTCTGTTTAGGGGAAGATATTGGGATAGAACCACTCGATCTCCTCTCTCACCTTGAAACCTTTCTTTGGTTTCCACGGATGGTCAAATTTCAACAGTTCAGTTAAATACGGAATTTGCAAGCGTTACCCGCTCGGGTTCTGCTCACTTGACTGACCCTTGACCCTACCACGTCATATAGAAAACGCTTTGGGAAATCCCATCATTGCACATCATCACTCGTCTCAATCACATCCTACCCGTCATCCTTCTTCTTGTTTCCCTCTTCCCTGCCTCCCTCCTGCCTACTGTCTGGGGGATAAGTGCTAGGGCACGGTACTGTGGTTACTAGTATCAGCAGAGAATATACCCACTGCATCTTTACGGTCATAGCTGACCATGTTCTCAAAACCAATGGCACAACTCCATGGTCCCCAGGGACTGGCGGACGCTTACACTGTACTGAGGTAGGCGGTTTAGAATAAAAACCTGCTGGTTGCTTTCAGACAATGGGGCCTCACTTCTTGATATTATAGCGCTATCAATTGAGAAGGGGGGGGGGAGATGAGGTTATAGACTCTCTGCCCACCACCAAATATGTCGTAAAAGGCGAATATACCCACTGCATCTTTACGGTCATAGCTGACCATGTTCTCAAAACCAATGGCACAACTCCATGGTCCCCAGGGACTGGCGGACGCTTACACTGTACTGAGGTAGGCGGTTTAGAATAAAAACCTGCTGGTTGCTTTCAGACAATGGGGCCTCACTTCTTGATATTATAGCGCTATCAATTGAGAAGGGGGGGGGGGAGATGAGGTTATAGACTCTCTGCCCACCACCAAATATGTCGTAAAAGGCGAATAATTAGGAGTGTGCTGAGATCTGATGTGTTGTGTCAAAAGGTGCAGATATTACAGACCCGCTGTAGGCTACAAGACAACGCACCATCCGCTTTTTAAGAAGAAGAAAAAGAAGAAGCTATTCTCTATACAAGATAAGTGCTTGAAAGGGTCAGGCAATGTCAGCCAATGGAAAGCTTCACTTGTGCTTCTCGTTCCGAGTTACCTGCCCATTGCTACCATGTTGTTTTGTTGTCGGAAGGGACGGGTCGTTCTGTAAACATCAGACACATATTTATGTCCTGTTGAAGATCCTATTTGCAAGTTCTTTTCAACAGGACACATAATTATTAGCTGCTCGTTTTAGTTAACTACGCGAAGATGCCACCTAAAGAGCGAAAAATTGCGTTTATGGGATTCAGATCAGTTGGTAAGAAAAGAGATTTCGTCGTCTATAGTAGTTCTAAAGAGATAAGATAATGAATGAATCAGTGATGGTTAAACAGAGAGGTCTCAGTGACGGTGACAAGACCTGTTGCTAGTTAAGTTACAGTATAATTGATTTTCACTTCCTTGCTATATTTGAAGATTGTTTCTTTTTAATCATTGCTACTTTGTTGCATACACATATAATAAGTCCTGTAGCAGTTTTAATTTGTGCCGGTTACGGTCACGGTGAGATATATTATTATATATTATATGGACATTTTTATTTTGTATGACTTATTATTATTTTATCATATTTATGTATATTATCCCTACCAGACCTGAGGCCCTGAACCTAACTGTCCCTATAACCTGAACTCCTGGGCATTGCCGCGAAAAAACCAACATGATATACAAAAATATTAGTTACATGCAAACGAGTGGCTAGAATATGATGAAACTTGGAGACATTGTAGAAAATAGGCTTACCTTTTATCTAGTGCCAATATTCCACCTTTGTGTGCGAATCCACTCATCAGGATCAACTTTGTTTCACAAAGTAAACACCAGATGTTGCCGTTTGATGGACACACCCCCTTCTCCTACTATAGATCTATTTCAAGATTTATAATTTTCAAGATTTTCCTCATCATTTGCGCTCTCACTGACAGTGTCACTTCAAAAACATATTCTTTATGAAATTATCACACCGCCACAGAGTCTGAATAAACCAAAGTATCGATCACATGTTGGACTGTGAAAAGCCTAGAACTTGGTTCATCAGCCGCTCGTTTCATTGTGGATTTTCATAATTTTTCCACGTAAAACAACACAAATATAATTCAAACACATGCGGGCAGACATTTGCAATGTCTAACAAAGAGGATTGATAATGATTGGGTGGTTATTTTTAGTCAGTGACGCAAATTTTTCCCGTACTACGCAAAAAACCAAAAATTAGGGCCAGCGGTATAGCGTCAGGTTAAGAAATTCCTGGAAAATCGGGCCAGCAGTCTGGTAGTATTAATTTAATATTATTAAATTATTATTATTAATTTTATAAGTAGTTATTTTACAGAATTTTAGTATTGTATACAGACAGAACTCTGGTGTAATTGCACGTTTACCTGTTTTAAATTTTTGTAGTTTAAAAAAGAGTTAATTAAAACATTAATTGTGACTAAAAATATAATAATAATAATGACTTCTAGTTGCAAGTTGGAAAGGAGTTATAACTGTATGTTAGCAAATGCTGCCTCACTCCTTACTTATAGTCATATACTGAATACTACTTCACTTTGTTTTTAGTCAAAATAATTACAAATGGTCTTAGTGATTGATTATTATTGCGATTATTTAATTAATTAAATGGAACAGATGGGAACACATGATATTCTGCTGAGTGGCCAACTTATTCTACATTGCCCTTACAAAGGCAGTAGGCACACCATCTTGTAATTTTACAGCTTGAGAGTGATATCTGCACTTTTTGGCCCAAAACATGATTTCAGCAAATTTGTCAACAGAGTCTACCTAACTCTTTCATTACGTTCATTGTTAGACTAATTAAAAAAAAAAATTTTCAAATCTTATCCATAAAAGTTAGTTGTGTGTTCTTTACAGGAAATTACCAAACCAGCGCCAGCATTTTTTGTGTGGCTGTTAGTGGTTTTACTGGGCAGTTTTACGTTCAGTAGCTTGGCATTGCTATCGGAACAGTCAGATCTCATTACCACTGTCCCCCGTGTGGGTTCCGGGGCCCCATTGTGGGAAAAACAAGAACAGACCCACTGCCTACCCAAAAGCATGTCGTAAAAGTCGACTAATTGGGGAGCTTCCTTTGAAGTCGGAGTGCATCTGCCAGAGAGGCAAGGAATCAACAGTCTGTATTCAAGAGAATGAGATCTGTAAAACTGATGCACACGCAACACTCAGGTTCTGGAGCAGGACTGCAGTTCACTAATGGACGAGCAGCCAGAACTTTCCGCCAGAGTGTACAGCTGGTGAACGCAAAGAAGAAGATTACCACTGTCAAAACTAATACAGGGCGGTCTGCTGCTAAACTGCGCTCAGCTTGGCATTAAACCCAGCATACACTTGTTTTTTATTACACAACCTTTTGTTCCAGACAGTTATTATCTTAACCAATTTTTAACCAAATTTAATGTTTTCTTTTCTTGTGCTTTCATGCTCAGATGGGCAGTTCAGATGTTGTATTGTGGTTTACAGCTAGGCACATATTGTTTTAACAAACCCCTAGTTAGTCACCTTTTATGACTGCTTATTAACGGGGCAGTGGGTCTATTTCCCCCCCCCCCCCCCCCCCCCCCCCCCCCCCCCCCCCCCCCCCCCCCCCCCCCCCCCCCCCCCCCCCCCCCCCCCCCCCCCCCCCCCCCCGCGCTTAAAATTTGAATTTTAGAACCCATGCAAGGAATTTTACCCAGCTATTTAATATTGTGAACCAAGTGCTGAATTTCTGACATTCTGACATGGAAAACTGCACTGAAGATTGCACAGGACAGGAAAGCATGGAAAGTCCTCCCTAAAGCCTCATGTGCTACTAGGCATACAGAGAATTGATGATGATGATCTAATATTGTAGAGAAAAGTGTGTGAGACAAACAGCATTGATTACACTGTGTGACGTATGGGTTAACCAGTGGACATATAAGGTAACAAATGGACACGTGGGCTGCTTGATGCAGAAAAGAGTTGAACAACAGAGACAAGACTAGAGTACTTTAAATAAATAGGAAAGAATTATGGCAACTGACATATTAATTCTGAAAACCAGTATCTCATATTATTTTGTAATATTCAGGTCGATGAAAGGAGGCCGATGGGCTTATTTATTCACCCCAGCCCCCAAATAATAAAAGAATTGTTTACATTAATTGCAGTGTTGCTGTTTAAATAAATATTAATTACTGGCAGCATGAAATGGTTAGGGCATATAGAGGAAACAGCAGATAATTGAGGCAAAACTACGTATACAAAAGAGTTGAATGGGAGTAGACTATGGCACACACCAAAAAGACGGGGGAGCAATTATATTCAGGCCGACCTACAAACACTTAGTCATCAACTGGAAAGGGGCCACTTGGAGAAATGTATTGAAGTTGGTAATATCGGCTGGAGTGAACTTCACAAGCTCAGAATGTTGGAAGAAAAATTACGTTATTGTCCTTAAAATAATTTCCACAACATACTTTAAATATGGTGCAAATCATTTTAAAGATAGATAACTCACCCTCAGAAGTCAGAATGCCAACATAAATACATTTTAAAATGTGAACTTGTTGTAAGGAAACAATTTTATAATAATTATTTTGTTTTTATACTTTTCTTTTAGCCAGATTAAGAAGGCGCAGGAGTTGTGCTAGTGCATAAGTTAGATACATGTCTCCTGGACAGAGGCATTGAGTTTGCATCTACACAACGGCAGATTTTTAAAATGAATCTAAGGATCCAAGAGTAACCCAGCTTAAAATGGGTACTAGGTAATGCCCTGGGAAGTAAAGATGGTCGATATATTGTTGAATATATCACTTGTATGGCCTATAAACATATATCATATTTTTTCTGTGTATAAGACAACCCTTCTTCTTCTTCTTCTTCTTCTTCTTCTTCTTCTTTTGTTTGCCTGAAATCAGTTGTCTATATCAGCAATTTTTATCTCTTGTATAAATTTCACTGTTGTTGTTAGTTCATTCAGTGGTCCATAGAGTTTATGTTCCACTGTTGTTCTTTCTGGCCAAAAGGTTTGCCTTAATGTGTCAAATTCGGTGCAGTCCTTGAGTGCATGCTCTGCTGTCTGGGGCACCTTTCCACAGGTGCACATGGCTGATACGCCTATCTTAAATTTTGTGTACCTGTGTAAGACAACCCTCATTTTTGGCCTAAAATTAAAACTAAATATTGTAACCTCATTCTTCTTCTTCTTCTTCTGCGTTCATCCGAAGATGTAATTGCGTTGTGTCTGTTTACAGCATGGCTGCGATATTTGCACCTTTCGGCCAACACATCCAACTTCTGCGGGCATTTGTTGACCGGGTTACCCTTCCCGGTGTAACCTCATTCTATATATGAGACAACCCCCCCATCCCACATTTTCTCCTCCAGTTTTGAACTTTACAAATTTGATAAAACATGCTTATATGCCAATAAATACGCGGAGTCGCTTTGCGAATCTACATGTTTTGCTTAAAGATTTAACAGGATCTGATTTATATGTATTGAGTTAGGAACCAGTGTCACAGCACTCAGAACATTCCCATAAGTACTCAGTCCTCGTTTTCAGCAGCCAGCGCAGTTCAAGTTCCGATTGTAGCACTAGCAGTCTGATTATATGTCGGCCTTGCTTTTCCTCTGAGTGTTAGGCATCAGTGTTTATTTATCTTATTTATATGCTTTGTGCGTTTAATTCTCAGGCAAATCATCCTTGATCATTCAGTACGTCGAGAACCAGTTTGTGGACTCTTATGACCCAACTATAGAAAACAGTAAGTGTTAATCCCAACTGTTGAAAACAGTAAGTGTTGACCCCAGCTATTGAAAACAGTAAGTGTTGACCCCAGCTATTGAGAGCAGTGATGAGTATTAACATCAACTTTTGAAAACAGTAAATGTTGACCCCAGCTATAGAAAACAGTAAGTGTTGACCCCAGCTATTGAAAACAGTAAGTGTTGACTCCAGCTATTGAAAACAGTAAGTGTTGACCCCAGCTATTGACATGTCATGTTCTGGTTAACAGCTAAGCTATAAGTGTTAACCCATCAGCTATTGAAACTAGTAAGTGTTGACCCCCCCCCCCCCCCCCCTTACTGTTGAAAACAGTGAGTGTTGACCCCAGCTAATAAAAACAGTGAGTGTTGACCCCAGCTAATAAAAACAGTGAGTGTTGACCCCAGCTAATAAAAAAACAGTGAGTGTTGACCCCAGCTGATGAAAACAGTAAGTGTTGACCCCAGCTATTGAAAACAGTAAGTGTTGACCCCAGCTGATGAAAACAGTAAGTGTTGACCCCAGCTATTGAAAACAGTAAGTGTTGACCCCAGCTATTGAAAACAGTAAGTGTTGACCCCAGCTATTGAGAGCAGTGATGAGTGTTAACATCAACTTTTGAAAACAGTAAATGTTGACCCCCCCCCCCCCCCCCCCCCCACCCCCCACTGTTGAAAACAGTGAGTGTTGACCCCAGCTAATAAAAACAGTGAGTGTTGACCCCAGCTAATAAAAAAACAGTGAGTGTTGGCCCCAGCTGATGAAAACAGTAAGTATTGACCCCAGCTAATGAAAACAGTAAGTGTTGACCCCAGGTGATGAAAACAGTGAGTGTTGACCCCCAACTGTTAAAAACAGTAAGTATTGACCTCAGCTATTGAAAACAGTGAGTGTTGACTCCCAGCTAGTAAAAACAGTAAGTGTTGACATCACTGTTAACATACCATGAAAGGGAAGCCATTGAGTGTGGGACACCAGCTCATTTAGCAGGTTTAACTACCTTGCCACATAAACAAGTCTTTAGGGGTTTGCTGAAATCGAATGTGTTGGGCCAACAGTTGTAGATATCGTAGCCTAGCTGTAAATCACTACATGACATGTCAGCCATCCTTTTAAGGATGGACACAAAAGAAGTTCTTCTTCTTCTTCATGTTCACTGGCTGTAAACTCTGGCGGAAAGTTCTGGTTGTTCATCCAGTCTTTTTCCAGAACCTGGGTGTTGCTTGTGTATCTGTTTTATTGATATAACTCATTTGCATGCAGACTGTTGGTTCCTTGCCTCTCAGGCAGGTGCACTCCGATTCTGAAGGAAGCTCCCAATTAGACCACTCTTACGACATGCTTTTAGGTAGGCAGTGGGTCTATTCTTGTTTTATCTACAAAAGGGCCCCGCAACCCACACGGGGAAGAATAAGATCAGAAAGTAAACATTACTCTGCTATCCAAAATGGAAGAATGTTATTTTGCTATTTAGATAAAAATTATATGGAGAAGATAACGATTGAGATGAGCAGTGTTAGAGGAATTGTGGAATGAACAAGATATAGCTTCCTGTGTGGGTTCCGGAGCCCCATTTTGGGGGAAAACATGAATGAACCAACTGCCTCTCTAACAAGCATGTCGTAAGAGTCAACTAACTGGGGGGCTTTGTTTGAAGTGTGAGTGCATCTGTCTGAGAGGCACGGAACCACCAATCTGCATACAATTGGGTCAGATATGTTAGACGGATGTGCACGCAACACTCAGGTCCTAAGACAAGACTAAAGTCCAGAAGTGGACAAATAACCAGAACCTTCTGCCTGAGTTTACAGCCGGTGAACGTGAAGAAGACAAACAAGATAAAGCAACACACAGAAAGCAGAGTAAATAATGAACGGAGGCTAGGCTCAAAGAGCGGCATTTAACATATTAGTTACCCTTTACTTATTCAACTAGAACAGGTCAAGGTAATCATATAGTTCAGATATATTCTGTCACAGCTTTATAATGCAGGAAGATAGGATTCCGGCATGGTAAAATTAAACAGTAACACAGTGGACTACATGAAGTCAACTGGGGCAAGCATCCTTGATGAGTTAGATGTGAACAATGCCTCTACAGACACAAACAATGGGAACTACATAAACATTGGGAAATACATACCGCAATGACTTTCATTGTTGTTGTAGATAAGATAAGATAGTGACACTGCAGTGGTTGGAAGTGAAATGTCAATCCTTGATGTAACTGATAATCACTCTGATGATACTTGAGGGTCTAAATTTGGGTGGAAGATTAACCTATATCAGAAGTGAGATTTTTTTGGTTTGGTCGACAGATTGATTGATAATGGTTAAACTAAGGTTCCTGACTAGTTGATTTGTGAAGTTTATTAAATGGGAAGATAATGTGAAGAAGTAGGGCAAGCCAGATAAATAAAGCATGTTACTTCTTGTTCTGTACTTCCTTTTCTGTCAGTTTATAGGTCAAGGTAGATACAGGGTTCTAGTTTTTTCTCTTCTGGCCACCTCAAAGGTATTACTTTTATAGTTTCTGTAATGTCTGTCGACCTCATTTGTTGTCTACCCCTGGTTCTACATCCTTCTCTTCTTCTCCATTGGTGTATGCTTTTCCCTTGTGGGTTCCGGGGCTCCTTTGTGGGGTAAACAAGAATAGACCCACTGCCTCGTAGGATTTAAGTAACTGGGAGTCTCCTTCGAAGTCGGAGTGCTTCTTGAGAGGCAAAGAAGCAGCAGCCTGTGTACAAATAAGTCATATCTGTGAAACGGATGTACATGTGAAACTCAAGTTCTTGAACAAGACCAAAGTCCAAAAGTGGATGAACAACCAGAACTTTCTGCTGCAGTTTACAGCCGGTGAACGGGAAGACAAAAGAAAAAGAAGATTGATGCGTATATAGCATAACAAGGCGTTCTCTGTAAGTGGCCAAGCCATTTTATTTAGCATGTTTATTAATTATTGAAAAGTAATTAGATAGTCAATTCTGTTGGTCGTTAGGTGAGGTTCCAGCCTCAATGAAGACAGATCCCACCCATAATTGTTCCATTATTGTGTCTGTAGAAATCATACAAAATGTCCTTCACCGTCTAGTTTGAAAAACTATTGAAAAAGATATAATTCACAGGAAAATTTTGAATCTTGCACATGCAGTATAATTCCATTCGCTTGCTGGTAACTCAGGTTGTTGTATATGCCACTTCTTCTGTTTGCTAAAACAGCTGTGATATTTGGGGTGTGAAAAAAAAAAAAATAATTTTGTTTTCAATATTTCATGGAGTTTTTAGTTCCCCCTACTTTTCTTGTCTAAAGTTTTTATATGAAAGGTGCATTGTGGGAATTACCCACTGATTAACAGTTTCCATTTTGTCTCAATGAAAGCATTTGCCAAGCATACCAGAGTTGGTGGTCAGGAGTATGACCTGCATGTAGTGGACACGGCTGGACAAGATGAATATTCAGTTATACCACAGTCCTACTTTATTAACATCAACGGTTATGTGCTAGTTTATTCAGTCAACTCCCACAAAAGGTTTGTATTCATTTGTTTTAAATACATATTTAAAAAAAAAGAATTTTGTTTACTGTTATGGATACAAATTAGAATACATATTTGTATGCCTTGAGGTGAAATGGGGAAAAAGGTACCAGCAACATGTTGTGGTAAATCAGTCAACACTCTGTGCGGTGGATTTATTAAAATAAATTTAGCTGGCACTGTTGTCTATTCTCATCCTTCAGAAGCCTTTAAAGTTGCCAGGAATAGTGAGTGTCCTACTCATGCTAACAGCAGGGAGCACTCAGATGTTCTCTCAAAATCCAGATCTGCGCTTGCCATGCTATGTTATGTAACAGGGCTATTCAGCTGGTGGCCCTGTGGGCCAAATCTGGCCCATGGAGGCCTAACAAGTGGCATGCGGATCATTGCCAGTTCAGTTGTATTAATGATCTTTTTATGCTGGGGCTTAGGCCTTTGGCCCATGACAATCCACATAGTCCAAATTTTGGCCCCTGGGTAAACTTAATTGAAAAGCCTTGTTATATAAAATGATCCTATACACCACACAGGAGACATCATGGTAATTTTCCTTGCACCCAGGTGCCTCCATAATTGTCTCAGTTTTCTCTCGTAGGTTATGCTACCTTGGTAGTAGATTGAAAGAAAAGCCTCTAGACCAGCATGGGTACCAAGCCCTCAGAGCTCCACTGCACTTCCCATGGGTTCCGCTGCCACTCCAGGAAAATAAATACAAATTGAATAAGTTAAAAGAAGTCAAAATCCTCGTTAAGAGAAAATCAGAAACAGACTGGGAAACCAAGAAAGGTTATAACCATGAAAAAGATTTCCCGATAACACCTGAACAGAACAGACCAAGTCACAGTTTTTCACTTACGAACTGGACACCGCAGACTCGACAAATACTCATATAAATTAGGTATAAGCCAAACAGCTCTCTGCCCGTTTCATGCTGAACAGACTCCAGTCTTGCAAGACTGTCCTCTCTTGGGGGAGCTGCGGAGCAACCTGTGGCTACACCCAGTAGAACTGACAACGAAGCTTTGGGGAAACCTAAGAGACCTCGAGAGGACATCCCAGTTTATGGCCCACAGTGGATTATGCGCATGACCAGATATCGATGACGAAGAAGTTGAAGATTAAGAAACAAAAGTTAGAATCTGTCTAACAAATGGCAGACTAAAGGGGCTGCACCAAAGAAATTAATTTGAAAAAGGGCTGTAGGGGTAAATAATAAGTGGGAACTGCTGTTTTAGACTAACATCACTGAGACAGTTGCATTCCTTTTTACTGCTTAGTCCACTTGAATACTCGTATATCAGTCTTGATGGGATGAATCCCAGATTTCAGAGGTTTTAAAGCCAGCGGCCTCCTATTGGTCATTCTGTCAGCGCTAAGCACACACACACACACACTGTAACACAGCCATAAGTATCACATCATGTACATACTAGAATCTTCAGAATTCTACTGTGGATGAGTTTCTCTCCATGTCTGTTCTTGAGCCTCATTTTGAGGGTTAAAAAAAAAGGCCACGAATTAATGGTTTCTTTAAATCAGGTCTTAGTTAAAAAGGTGCAGATTTCATAGCCTAGCTGTAAACCACAACACAACAGGTACCGACCTTTTAAAGATGAACGCGGAAGAAAAAAGACAGATTTTAAATTGTAAATGATGCAGGGCAGTTATCTGTATTCTACTGTTTACTTCTGTGAGTGTCATTCACTGTAGTTCTGTGTCATTCACTGTAGTTCTGTGTCATTCACTGTAGTTCTGGGTCATTCACTGTAGTTCTGGGTCATTCACTGTAGTTCTGGGTCATTAACTGTAGTTCTGTGTCATTCACTGTAGTTCTGTGTCATTCACTGTAGTTTTGTGTCATTCACTGTAGTTCTGTGTCATTCACTGTAGTTCTGGGTCATTCACTGTAGTTTTGGGTCATTCACTGTAGTTCTGTTGTCATTCACTGTAGTTCTGTGTCATTCACTGTAGTTTTGTGTCATTCACTATAGTTCTGGGTCATTCACTGTAGTTCTGGGTCATTCACTGTAGTTTTGGGTCATTCACTGTAGTTCTGTGACATTCACTGTAGTTCTGTGACATTCACTGTAGTTCTGTGTCATTCACTGTAGTTCTGTGACATTCACTGTAGTTCTGTGACATTCACTGTAGTTCTGTGTCATTTACTGTAGTTCTGTGTCATTCACTGTAGTTCTGTTGTCATTCACTATGGTTTCAAGTTTATATTTGCTTGTTTCTGCAGCTTTGAGGTGGTCAAGCATGTATATGACAAGATTATAGACATGAAAGGACGAATGACGTACGTATACCAATAATATACTGACATATTCACATTATTGTGCATTTGTTTGTTTTTGTGATTTAAGAATCAATTATATGGATAGTGCACTGCTTAGCCAACACAGCAGTCAGAGTTCAGTTCTTTATCAACCATGGAGCTGCAGAACTGACTCTTGTGGTTGGGTTTATTTCCATGTAAAAGTAATTTTTCTGACTTTTTGAAGGTAGGGTTTACAAAATGCTTATTTAATGTGTTTTTTTAAAACTTAATTTTCAATATTCCTTATGGTGTCAATGTTTTTTGTTTGTTTGAAACAGTCCCAGGGATACACGGTTAAGAAAAGGTTTCTCATACCATATTCACTTATGGGTCTGACCTAGCTAGAGTGTTCTCACCTAGTTTAGATAAATACTTATCACTGCATAGCCCTTGTGGCAGTATCACTTGTAGGATTACTTTTTCTTGTATGAGTAGGATCTATTGGTAGTGGAACAACTGATGTTGAGTCTCCCTTGATGATTGTACATCGTGTGGGTTCTGGTACCCCATTAGGGGGTGGGGGGGCAATAACAGACCCACTGTTCCCCTAACAAGCCTGTCATAAAATGCAACTAATGAGAGATGTTTCAGTTTCAGAGTTAGGGAATGGTGTGGTGAGGATTTCAGCAATCTGAAACAACGAACAAACTAACAATTGCTTCAGAGAAGCTGATGAAAGTAGATCTCTATATAAACAATAAGAAAGAGACAAACACTGTTCCTTGGTCATATAATGAGAAGAGAGACATTAGAGAACATCGTGTCAACTGGAAAGATCAGTGGAAAAAGGGGGTAGAGGCAGATCAAGAGAGATGATGCTAGATGGGCTAAAACGATGGCATAGAGGGATATCATCAAGAGGGCTGTTCCAGGCAACCAGGGATTGTGATTTGTGGAGACTCATGAGCACTTACGCCAGTTGGCAGCGCGCATGATGATGATAAGAGGTGAGGAACCAACATTCTGTCTGCATTTAAACAAGCCAGATTTGTAAAACAGATGTGCATGCAAGACTCTAGTTCTGGAACAAGACAAATGTCCAGAAGTGGACAAACAACCAGTTCTTACCATTGGAGTGCAAAGCTGGTAAATGATGAAAAGAAGAAGGGAGACTGGAGAGAAATGGATTGTGGAAGAGTTGCAAGCATAGTCCCATTGTAACACTTGAAACTTTTTAGCATATGTGTTGTGTGTTTGAGTAGGAATTGAAAAAAAATTTGGCTTCCAGATTTGACTAGGAAATGGTTGGGGCATATTGAAAGAGTGTGAGATGACAGAGAAGTAAAAACTATACACAAGTGAGAAGAATGGTCGTAGACCACGAGGCAGACCAAGAAGATGATGGAGAGATGTCTAGAGAGACCAGCAAACACTTGCTGTCACCAACTGGAAAGAGAAGGCCAATCAGAGAGATGAATGAAGGCGGGTGATATCTGCAGCAGTGAACCTCAATAGCTCTGAATGCTGAAGAAGAAGATTTGCCTAGTCTAAAATGGGTACCAGGTGACGTTGGCAAGTGAAACAAGTGGTGATAATTCTTAAACATTGACTGTGATTTAGAAAGAAAATAATCACAGCAAGAAATAAATTAACCATGTGTGCATACTTTCAAACAAACGAACTCATAGTGAATCAGGTTAAAAAGTGCGTGATGGATGAATCTGCAGTTAAACATACTTATCTTGTGGGTTCTATGTCTCAGAGGTTAGTGAATGCACTGCACAATTTCATGATTATTGAGGACTAGGGTTCAGTTTCAGTGGCTGCCAGTCCATTAAAATAAACATTTTCAGGTAGTGGGAGCCGCCCTGGTGTAGCAGCTAGATACTCACCTGCTGATCTGAAGGTTATGTGTTCAAGTCCTCACAGTGCCGGACTTTAAAAAAAAAAAAAGACTCCGGCTCCCATGTTGACCCAGCCTTAAATGAGCACCAGGTAAAGTCCTGGGAAGTGAAGGCGGCTGGCGTGATGTTGACTGCAACACTGACTGAGTGCCGATTGGTTATAAAAAAAATAGGTATGTGCCCTGAATGCCCAATAGACATGATGGCATAGAAAAGGGTCCTTTACTTTTACTCTCAGGCAGTGGTACAAGAGTCGCACAGTGGAAGAGATTGTGTCCTCACCACACAGTAGTATCAAAGACCGTGGTGGGTGCGATACTTTCATTGTGGAGACGACACACACATAAAAATAAAACAATTATCTGACAAATGCACTCACAGTTGGTGTCTGTTTTGTCATAACAGGGTACCCATTGTGCTTGTAGGAAACAAAAAAGATCTACGTTTTGAAAGGTAATCTTGTTCACCATATGTCAGTTTATTTAGTTCTATGTTGTTTCCCAACCGTAATACTTTGAAAACACATATGAACAATAAGGAAATGTTAGTTGGTCTGTGAAAACTTCCTGATCATCATACCTGTTGACCAGTCTCATAGGACACGTGTCCTTATGAAACGGAAACTTCAACAAATCTTATCAGTGTTAGCAAAATGGACAGTATTCTGCTCCATCAGAGTTGACCATGGAGTGTTGATATTCTGAAAATTCTTATCTGCCCTTTTTATTCTGAGCATTTTTTCTGTCTGGTATTTCTAACGTTCTTATCTGACCATGATATTCTAAACATTCTTATCTGACCATGGTATTCTTGTCATTTATATCTGATCATGATATTCTCATGATTCTTATCTGACCATGATATTCTCATCATTCTTATCTGATCATGATCTTCTCGTCATTCTTATCTGACCATGATATTCTCATCATTCTTATCTGACCACGATATTCTCGTCATTCTTATCTGACCATGATATTCTCGTCATTCTTATCTGATCATGATATTCTCATTATTCTTTACAGACCATGATATTCTCATTTTTCTGAACTGACCATGATATTCTCAACATTCTTATCTGACCATGATATTCTCATCATTCTTTTCTGACCATGATATTCTCATCATTCTTATGTGATCATGATATTCTCAGATTCCCTTCATTCTTATCTGACTGGTATTCTTGAAATTCTTATCTTACTGTGATATTCCGGTTAAAATGGACGCTAGACAGCGGCGCCGTTCGGAACAGAGGCAAATTGTTTGCTTCTGCCGGACGGTGGCCGATGCATTTTTGCTCCATTTGTAGACTGGATATAGTTTCGTCGCCCAGCTTCTGAGTTGAATGCATGGCGTGACCCTGTGAGCTGCGGATTGCATTTGGAATGTTTTTTTCGACTGTGACCAACGTGGTGGTGTGAATTGTAGATTCAGAAAATGGCGCGATTCCTGTCGTTCAATGCTGGCGGGACCCGTATTGAAATTGATCACGCGGACAACTGCTAATCTGTTGACGACAAGTTCTGCTATCATCAATGATGAACTGCGTTTCTAATGTTGGACTGTTTGTGTTAGCATTTCGGATGGCTACCATATGCTTTAATGCGAGTGTATGCTAGAAATGCTGAGACAGCAGTCTGTCAATCTTTCCACAAGGGACTGTGATAGACATTCTGAGTGTTTTTTGCTGGCACAGGAGCGGAGCAAAGATGGGGCGACCCGTTTGCTATGAAGCTAAAACTAAGATTACCAGACTACCATTCTCTACATACTTTTGTAAATGTATCATTCTTGTCTGACCATGATATTCTCATCATTCTTGTCTGCCCGTGATATTCTCAACTTAAGATCTTATATGACTATGATATTCTCATCAACTATGATATTCTCATCATTCCGATCTGACCATAATATTTTCATCATTCTGATCTGACCATGATATTCACATCATTCTTATCTGACCATGTTTTTCTCAGCATTCATATGTGAACATGATATTTTCCAATTCCCTTTGTTTTTAACTGACCATAATATTCTCAACATTCTTATCCGACTAGTATTCTTGAAATTCTTATCTGTCTGTGATATTCTCTACATTCTTATGTGAACATGACATTCTCATCTTTCTTGTCTGACTATGACATTCTCAACATTCCTATCTGACCATGATATTCTCATCCTTCTTATATGACTATGATATTTTCATCTGACCATTTTATTCTCATCATTCATATCTGACCGTGATATTCTCATCATTCTCATCTGACCATGATATTCTCAACATTCTGATATTCCCAGTTTTTTCTGACCATGATATTCTCAATCTTCTTATTTGCTTATATTCTTATTGTTCTTATCTGACCTTGATATTCTCATTGTTCTAATCTGACCTCAACACATTTTTCTGACTGGTATTTTCAAAACTCTTAAAAAACTCAAGTTCTGGAACAAGTTTAAAGTCCAGAAGTGGACAAATAACCCGGAACTTTCTGTCAAAGTTTACAGTCAGTGAAAACTGAGAAAAAAAAAATATTTCTGAACCCAAAACTTGTCTTGAATACAGGGTCATATCTGAGGAGGAAGGAAGACGTGTGGCTGAGTCTTGGAAAGTACCATTTCTAGAAGCTTCAGCTAAAGAGAATTCGGTAAGTTAGAAAATGAGGATGTTGTATGCCAATAAACATATACGTAAGTATCCCCCAGTCACACACACACACTCCCCCATATTTAAGAAGGACAAAGGTGGCAGCACTTAACACAGGACAAAGGTGGCAGCACTCAACACAGGACAACAGTGGCAGCCCTCAACACAGGACAACGGTGGCACCACTCAACACAGGACATCGGTGGCACCACTCAACACAAAGTGTCTATTACAGTAGTAGTGGGGAAAATGTCTAGAAAAAGGTGCCAGTATTCACCACAGAGTGTCTAGTACAATAGTGCTGGACAAAAATGTATATAAAAGGGTGCCAGTACTTAATACAGTGTCTATAGAAAAAGGTGCTGGTATTTTGCACAATAGCATACCACCAGAAGAAAAAAAAAGTTTGTGTGCTCCAGTGATGTATGTGACCCCAGTCCATGTTGTTGATGCCTTGTCATAGCAGGATAGTTTGTGTGCTCCAGTGATGTATGTGATCCCAGTCCATGTTGTTGATGCCTTGTCATGGCAGGATAGTTTGTGTGCTCCAGTGATGTATGTGATCCCAGTCCATGTTGTTGATGCCTTGTCATGGCAGGATAGTTTGTGTGCTCCAGTGATGTATGTGACCCCAGTCCATGTTGTTGATGCCTTGTCATGGCAGGATAGTTTGTGTGCTCCAGTGATGTATGTGACCCCAGTCCATGTTGTTGATGCCTTGTCATAGCAGGATAGTTTGTGTGCTCCAGTGATGTATGTGACCCCAGCCCATGTTGTTGATGCCTTGTCATGGCAGGATAGTTTGTGTGCTCCAGTGATGTATGTGATCCCAGTCCATGTTGTTGATGCCTTGTCATGGCAGGATAGTTTGTGTGCTCCAGTGATGTATGTGACCCCAGTCCATGTTGTTGATGCCTTGTCATGGCAGGATAGTTTGTGTGCTCCAGTGATGTATGTGACCCCAGTTCATGTTGTTGATGCCTTGTCATGGCAGGATAGTTTGTGTGCTCCAGTGATTCTCATAGCTATGCTGGCAGGAACTTTTGCCCCTGGTGGGTTTAACAATGTCGACGGGTCTTTAGGAGAAGGGCCAGACCAAACTGGAAAAGGGCCAGACCAAACTATCTGGTATTTTTCAATGTTTTTATCTTAGATGTTGCAATTCTCAGGGTTTCATCTGATGTTGTTGCAATTTTTCATCCAATGTAATTCTCAGTGTTTCATCCGATGTTGTTGTCACTCTCATCAGTGTTTCCTCTAATATTGTTGTAATTCTGAATTTATTCACCTAATAGTGTAGTAATTCTTGATGTGTCATCAAATGTTGTAATTCTTAGTTTCATCTTTGTATTGATGCAATTCAAAATTTATCATCTTTGTTTTAATTCTCAATGTTTCATCTTACATTGGTGTAATTCTAAATTTTTTATCATTTATTGTAATTCTCATGGTTTCATCTTACATGTTTGTAATTCTAAACTGCCCCATTTCCTCTACTCCCAGTCGGTGAAAGAGATCTTCGACACCATATTGAACACCATGAAGCAAAAAGAGAATGGTGAAACGACGGAGAAGAGCAGCTGTCTTCTATCGTAGCAGGTCTTCTGTGCACAGTTCATTACCTTCTCTGTTCTTATCACCATATTTTAGATTTTATTTATAAAGTGATTTTATCATGATTGCTCATAGATTGTCATTCACCACACCAGTATATTTATTTCTCATTCCCATTGGGGGGAGACTACTCTTGAACTACTATGCCATGGGAAGTTCTTATCAGTTGTCGTAGATTAGTCGAGTCGAGTACTGCGCTAGTGTTTCTGTTTGTACTTTCATGAATGATAAAGGTGCTTATATGAGTTTGTTATTTTAGTGTTATTTTAATGTTAGTTGTTAATATATCTGGACTGCTTAGCATGGTTCAGATTTTATGATAAAAGTATCACAATTTGTCTTGTCTCACTGGTCAATGCCTGGAATTTTACAGATGTGTGATGAATTATTCAGATTTTCTGGAAAAAAACATAGAAGAATGAAAACTTGGTTACGTCATGAATATTTCACTGTTTTTCATCGTTCGTTAATTCACCACTGGATTATTTTCATGAAAATATATCAAATGTCTACAGTACTGCCATGAAACTTATTACTGCAATTTTGGTCATATTTCCATAATTCACTAAAGTTCTACTTCTGTTGTTTCATGCAAGAAGCACTCGCTACCATACAAGACTGCTGAACCCTCAGTCACTTAAAAAAAATTTTTTTTTGACAGTGTCAGTATAAAAAAAATTGGGTGTGGTGCTAAAAGTAGTTTCACTCGGCAAGAGTAAACTATATAAATTTGTACAAAAGTACCAACTTCGGCAGTGCTGCTACCACATTGTTGTATGTTTATGAAAGTATTATTACCACTTTGTCATATTTACAGCTAGGAAGACACACACACACACAAAACCTTCCAAGTTCTCTCTGGAATCCTTTACAGCAAAATGCTCTTGCTTTTGGCTTGTCTGTTGATGATTAGATGTTGTATGTTTCTGGACTGAATGTTGACAAATGTATATATTGTTATGCTGGTTATAGTCAGATGGAGTTGTTTTAGCTTATTGTAAATTGGTGGATAAGTTGTATTTTCTTTAAACATTGGCTGTTTATGGAGGGGGTTTGTGATTTGATTGAACATGTATTCTAAACAGATTTTGAATTTTGTGTGACGGGTATAACAAGAAGGGTTGCATTTTATCTCCTTGCTTGGTGCGTGAGTGTGTGCGTGCATGTGTGTATGCATGCATTGAGTGAGTGTCCTTGTTAAATATCTGGTACTGACCCTTTCAAATTTGGAGTGCAATCTGCCTTATTGGCAACGAACCAGCAGTCCGCATATTGATAAGTTAGATATGTAAAACAGACATGCACGCACCACTCAAGTCCAGAGGTGGGTGAACAGTCAGAATTTTCTGCCAAATTTTGCAGCCGATTAACCCGAAGAAGAAGAAGAGTACTGACCCATGTTATCTAGTGACCTAGTATATGCAAATGTTTCTATCTCATCTAGTGTGTTGACCTTATGTGTGTGATGTTATAAGGTCAAATCACTGCATTTGCCATGAATTTTATAACTTAAAAGTGCAAGTGTGAGAATTTATGATTACTGAATTTGAGTGGAACTTATGTGCTTGTTGTGGTGTGGGAAGAGTGTAATGTACTGTTTGTGATTTGAAGTGAATTCACCTGCTTGATTGATTTTACTTGTATACCAGAAATAAACCATGTTGTTTTCATGCCATTTCTTTGTTGGTGTGTCTGAAGAGTGGTCACTTTGTGTGATTACTTGCCTGGTTGAATGTTGGTGACCGACCTATTGGAGTTACTCTGGTGAGCTGTTTCAACTCGTTGCACTGCAGCAGAGTCACTCTTGGGAAAGTCCCTTTCCCATGCCTTCAGATAGACTGGGTATGTAGGGCTAGACCTATATTTTTTTAGACCAATCAGCACTCGGTGGGTGTGGTCAACATGACGCCAGCTGCTTTTACTTCCCAGTAAAGTAGTGACTGTACAGCAGCAATCATACTAGCTCTCTGGTATATATATATCTGTACTATCACCTCAGCACAGCAACTTGTCACGCAAACAAAACTCTGCAGACCGCCAAGAAAGCTCAGGAACATCATTTATTGTACCAGCAAAACAGAATAAACATTCCTACTTACTGTATATCACAAAATCAGTGAAGCAAACAACCAAGAATGATTTCCATATCACACTCCGATGACAACAAAAATAAAACAAATATGTTATCACACCAATGATAAAATGGTTTTATTTTACGCTAAACGACTCAGAAATGAACAACATACGTGTTCATCTCTACTAAAAAAAAAAAAAAAAAAGCCAGAAATAAAAGGAAATCACCAGGGAAACAAAAACTGCTTGCTCTGGGACTAACTACATAAGGAATGGATACGTGCAACAAGGGAATCATATCTGCAACTAGAGCCAGTCGTGGAGACAACTATGTGAATGTCAAGTTGTGGTTTTTCATCTGGTTTTGTGGTCAGGTGAGGTCTCAAAGGGATGAAAGTATTAAATATTTAAATTGACATGAAAATAAAGAAATAATGAGTTGTGAATGAAGAGTTATGTTATATCAGATCTTGTATAACAGTCCAATTCGAGTGGCTTCTTTATATAAACGGGTCACCTCTAGAAGCGGTGTTGGAACCATTCAATCTCATTACAGTATCAAATAAACCTCAACATCTACACCAGTTACTCAACTAAGCTGAACAGTCTGAACTTTTTGCATATGCAAACATTTGCATACAACTTCTTTCATGTAGGCTATACAATCACGACAGCTGCGTCAATGATGACTAACATAATCACCTGTCAGCCTGTTGTCCTTATGATCAAACATCTTCTAACCTCCAACCTGCGCTGCCAGATAAATCCCCAGCTTATGCTAATTTAAAACAAAAATATTCGGAGGAGTTGCTGATGTTACACTGACTACACCCATCAAGTAGTGCTGGTTAGGGTGAGCAGAATACAGCCAGTATGCCTCATTGTGTGAACAAGGGACCATTCTGTTGCTCTCTACTTCACTGGTAATCCTGGTTATCAACTTATATAAATATCTCACATATTCAATAATGTGCACAAAGTTTTCATTTCAGATAATCAATCACCAATATCATTTTCATCTAAGATAATCAATCATTAATATTATTTTCATCTGAGATATTCAATCATGTACACAATGCTATCTCAAAAATTCAATCATGGGTACAAAAATGTCATCTCAGATTTTCAAATTGTGGTCAAACTTGTGGTTTTCTTCCTGGCTATGGTACTCTGCTTGTGGATATGTAAACTCTAATCTGACATATCAACTCTCAAGCTTTCAACTAAGATTTTCAATAATTAGTATCAAGTTTTCGATTCAGATTTTCAATCGTGAACATAATGTTTTCATCTCAGATGATTAATCATGGACACATTGTCTTTATTTCAGACATTTAATCACTGACGCAATGATTTTATCTTAAACATTCATTCATGCATACAATGTTTTTATCTCAGATATTCAGTTTCTTAACAGATAAGTTTTCAACTCAGATTTTCAATCATCGACATGTTTTCATTTCAGATATTAAGTCCCCAAATATTCAGTTGTGGATGCAACATTTTCTATGTGAATAAATGGATAGTCATGGATGTAGTTTTCTTCCTGGATATGTTACTCTGTTAGTGGATATCTAGGTGTCAAATCTGGCATATCAACTGTTTAAGCTTTGACTTCTCAGTCACACACTTTATGAAGAGTTTTTGGTCTTACCGCACCGGACATATCCACTAAGTGTCGATCAAACATAAATGAAGCATCCCAAGTTTTCAATCAAAACTCTTAGCAAACCATCACATAAACTGTATCAAGTTTTCAATCAAAAAATGACATACAATCACATAAATCAAGTTTACAATAAAAAATGAACACCCCACAAACACACATAAATAATCAACACCGTACATCCTTGTATTAGCTTGACTGCAGTCACCCCCATATTTTCACAAATAATCAAGAATATCAAGTTTTCAATCAAAGCTCTTCAATCACCGAAATAATGCATTCAATCAAAACTCTTGATGCACAATCATAAATACTCAAGTTTTGATTGTCACATCACAATAAACTCTATGAAGCCTCATTCTCCCTGATTTCTATAAAGACTAGAATGGTCACATTATATCATCCTTCCTCTTGAACGTCGCTGTTTTCACAGCACATCTGAATGTTTCTTTCTCCAGCCCCGTGTGCCTTCACAGCTAATTCATCTATAATGTCTTTTATTCACATTTGTGGAGGTCAGCCTCTGCCTTGTTTTCCAGAAACTACCTTCCATCAACTATGTTTTGTAGGTTACCCTGACATTTAACATGGCCAAACATCTCAGCTTTTGGGACAGAATACTGTTTATAAGTAGTTCATCTAAGTGTTAAGATTATGTAGGACAGGGCTATTCAACTGGTGGCCCATGGAGACCTAGCAATTGGCCCGCGGAACACTGCCATTTGTACTGTTTTAATCATCTTTCTACACATCGTGATTGTAACTGACTCAGAAGGCAACACTGAGGAAGGTCAGTCAGGACAGGTATGCTTCGTGAAGAGTGGCATGCTTCATTGCGGAGGACATGGGTGAGGAGTATGGTCTGGATTTTTTCTCAGAGAGACGTCGGTGTGTTGGGAAATGAACAGGCGGACAGACTGACTAGCTCTGCACAACTTGGTTGAATACTGATGCATGATAAGGCAGACGTGGTTAGTGCCTTGTGGGAGAGCGTGTACGGTTCATAGGAGCAGATGGATCACCACAGTCTGGTGAGATTGATGCAGTTAGGGGTGACGAGAAGTTCTGGCAGATGCTTAAGGCTCAGAGGAAAGGCAAGATGGACGTTTAATCAGAATGCTACTGGCACCATTAGTATCAGAACTCTTCATTGGCTGCTGAAGATGGGGACGGAGCGCTTATGGGAATGCCCCAAGTGCTGTGATGTCGGTTCTTGAATCAACTCAACTCAATCATGCTGTAC